AATGAGAGTTTCAGAGCTGAGTTTGATTTACTATAGTATTGAGGATGTGCTCACTGAGGCATTTGAGTTGACAGTGATGTCAATATGGGAGCTGTTTTCACATATCACTTGGTCTCTCTGAAGACCAAGCCATTCAAGGGAACCAACTTCAAGCCCGAGAGTGTTGGTAGCCTTCTGACTCCTATTATCCGCTACTGTAGGATTGATGTCTCGAGCTGCACTGTTGTGACCAGGCGCCATCTAGTCGGCATGGACTCCTATTATCCGAGAGCCAATCAGACCTCATCATCTTCCGGACATTCCAGTTATCCCCATGGAGCAGGCCACTTTTTAGAGATATATGGTTCAGAGTGTCCAGAGCCTCTGGAATGCCATGGCAGTACTCTCGAACTGTGGATGCATTCGCCCACTTTCACTACCTTCTTATGAGGATGATGAGGACTAGTTCCTCTATCTATCCTGGTTACTTTTCTTTTCCTTTTTGTTTTTCTTTTGCTTGAGTCTATTTTTTCTGTTCTTCCCTTTAGTCAGTTTATCAGCTACGGTTATAATTTGAAACTTGTTTGAACTTACGAGATTATGCATTGTGTTGTTGCTTTTAGTTGTGTTCTTGAGTGTTCCTAACAGTATTGACTCGAGAGAACTTCAGCTAACAATTTAACTTGCAGCAATGATCACGTTTGAGACGACCACAATCTGTTTTCCCACAGCGTGTCGGTGGACGCCAACCATAAGGTGTTGATCTACACCATGCACGATCATATATACCATTTTATCTTCTCTGTTCAAACAACTTCATATCTTATCTTTTCCAACTTCATGCCTTAATGACAATGTGGACAGTGTTGTTAAAGTCTTGGGGGGGGGAGGGGTAGTTGCTGACATTATGCTTTGTGTTGAGAGTCAATTTGTTGTGTCAAAAGTTTGTTTTATTAAGTCAAAATTACTTGGAAACTAGGACATTTCTCTTGATTGTTTCTGCTTATTGTTTCATCTGAGTGACAACTGCTGTAGAACTGATACCACATTTTGACTAATGAAAAATCCTAAGGCTCACCAGTTGACTAGAAACAACCATAGTTCCAGCAAAGTCCATTAAACCTGAGCTTCAAAAGAAACTAAGTTATTGAGTTTGTCGTTCATAGATATTGATTCCTCATTCCTATTTGATAAGCTGCATGTAATGTTTGAAAAGTAATGATACTCATCTCTTTTATTTGTTAATAAGAAATCCGAAAAATATTCTAGAAAATTTGAGATAATTCTCTTTGAGTGAAGGGTAGGAAAATTTCCAATGATTCCTGTATTTTATTTCAAAGAGATGATCATAGATAAAAGTAAAATTATGATTACTCTGTGATATTATTATTTATCTACACCTAAAATAAATTAATAAAACATTAAAAAAACAAATCTCGGGAAAAAATTACATAACATCATTATAAATTTTATAATCGGTATTATAATAGTTTCCTCTAAAACTTGAACTTGTATAATATATATATGTATATATATAATAAAATGAAAACTTAACGTAATATAAATATTACTAATCAAAAATTAACTTTATACATAATATTTTTTGAAATAATTCATCTAATTTTTTTGACACATCATCAATTAAAAAGATTTTTTTTTCAAGATTATGAACTACATTTCTATAAATTAATACTTCTTCCATTTTTTAAAAAAATATATCATTTGATATATTTCATACAAATTAAGAAAAATATTATAAATTCGATTTTGATCCTTGTTCATACACAAAATAATATTTTTTATCTAATTAAATTATTAAATTAGTAAAGTCAAAACTGGGTTTTTTTTTGACAAAAAAAACCAGTCTTTGTATAACAAAAGTTTAAACTTTTTTTTTTATCAACTGAATTTTTATTAAAACCACAACGGAATATAATACAGGGTAGAATACAAGGTAAAAATCTGAGTAGAATACATGGTAGAATACAGAAACTTGAGGAAAAAGAAGATATCCCCAAAAGACACAAACAACTAAAAAGAGGAGATAAAACTTTTAATCAAACCAAGAAAACTAGAACTGGAAGGATCAAACTAACAGGAAGAAGCAAAAGTTTAAACTTACAATGACCCTTTTTTAAATGGAGGGAGTAATTTTTATAAAATACTAAATTTTTGAAGTCTCTCACATTAACAACTTATTGAGTATTTACTGTAGAAACAATGTAAAATACACACTTGAGAATCTCACGCGACATTCAATTCAAGAACAGATTACTAGTCGCATAGATACATAGTAGCACCGAAAGAGCCATTTTTAATCCTTCTAGTTCAATACAAATCTTTACTCCATGCAATTTATTTGCAATATATAATGGTGCATAAAAGCAACAGCAGAAAATGTTATGTCCAATAAATTTGAACTCTTAAGCTATCAAACCGGAGATGGGAAACAGGAAATGAATATCAGTCTTTGTTAGTCTCAGAAGAAGCAGCCTTTCCACAATACTTGTTTCTCCAAACTTGTTTGTTCTTCTCGATTTTGTTATGATTTTGAGAAAATTCAGTGAGCCCTTGTCTAAATGCTCCAAGTGTAACCCCATCACCCACCAAGATGCTTGTGACTCCCATTTTCGAAACCTGTTTATTTCAAACATCAAAGATTTAATCATAGCGCACAAAAGCAAAGAAACATATGCAATGTAAACTCCATTAGCGCAAAAGTAGTTTGCTGTTAACTGATTTAATGTTTCTGTCCTCATCATCGAAGAAGAGCATCGCGGTAAAAGGAACCGTTGTTCTTGTGTGTATCTTCTGAAAATGCTCTGTCTTGTGACTCCAACTTGAAAATATTTCCTGAAAAAAATCCCAAAAGGATTCAGAGTTATAAAGACAACAAAGTTCTAATACACTACAATGAAACAATGAAGAGAGACATAAAGGATACAAGAAGAAGAACATGTTTCAAAACGAACCTTGGCGACAAACATGGACTTAATGTTCAATTTGTCAATGAATGTGTTAGCAATATCTGAAGTTGGAGATCTTGAAGCTATCGCCATTTCAATTCCTTTCTCCTTCAGAGCATTCAGTATACCTTTTGCTTGTGGATACAAAGAAGGCATTTCGCGTTTCGAGCGACATTCGCTGAAATAGAGTTACAAAACCATAGAAAAACAATCAAACTAAAGTATAAGATTGTTCGAATTCGAGACAATCAGATTCAAAATTGACCATTCGAAACTAAAATTACAATCTATTGGACGAATTGTTTCACAGATTGAGACATATTCTTCTTCTATGAAAGGCTAAAAACTCAAACCCTAAATTCAGTTTCACTGTCAATGGAGATTTCCGTTTATAAATCAAACAAGTTTCTTTAAAATTGGGGATGGAAATGGAGAAAGAGAAACGTTACCAGTAAAAAGGCCAGAGAGTATAGTCGAGATCGAAGACGACAAGTCTCGGAAGAATTTGAAATGTTCCCATAATCTGCATCGCTTCATCTTTCACCTTCTCGTCCGTCATCTTTCTGGAGAACAGAGCAGAGAAAAACGACCGGAGAGAGAGAGAGAGATGGTCAGAGTCTTTGCTTGGCTGCGAGTTTTAAGATATTCTTTACAAGCGAGACGGTAATAGACTTCTCGACCTGTTCTTGTGAATTGAAAATTACCCGAGCAACCCTCTTTGTTTCTCGGTTTTACGAAACAATACCCTTAGCAAATTTGTATGCAGACTCATGGAAGCAACGGCGTATTTGAGAGTTTTTAATTTTGATGGGATCAATTTAATCCTAAATTTGGGTAAAATCGTAAGAAAATTTTGACAACTTCTTTCTAAACCAAAATAATTCCAAATTATTTGTCAACTTTGTAAAAATATATACAAATCTATACATATGGCGTTTGGCTCAAAATTATGTGATTAATCATTTTGTTTTTAGCAACATTTTTCAAATTAAATAGCAGGAGAAAACAAAATGTTGAAGGATGATGGATGGCATCATTGGCATGCATACACCATATAAGTAATGGATTACAGGACACATAATCCAAATTGTTTAATTATATAGATATGCTTTTTTGGTAGGAATATAGATATGCTTTTGATAGTTAAAGTTTTCATTCTAAATGATTTATTATTTAGATTTATTTGTGTAGAGTCTTTATTATCATTGGGCTGGCCTTAAAGATCAATCCAACTTTTCTATGAAATTAATGGCGGCTTTCAAAGTTTGATCGTAGCAAGCTGCGGAAATACCGATGTTGTTACTTACTTTATGCGTTTTCGAAGATGGTTCATCAATCATTATGCATGCTGATATCTATCGTATGATATGTATCGTCAAAGTAGAGTGAGAAAACGGAATGTAAACAACGAATCACGAGGATGATCTCCTGATACTTCATTTCAAACACGTAGATAGTAGAGATTTTGTGGATCTTTATGATAAATTAATAATCTCTTGATTACTCTACGAGTATCTCTAAGAATCCGTCTCAATTCACCGTTACAGTCTACACAGATAACATTGTTATATAAATAGAGCTTTAGAGGTGGAACTCCCACATATTACTAAATCACTAATTGCAAAAGAATAGATAAGCATTCCATATTTTTCCTCTTTGGTTATGTTTCTCTCGAAATGGATCTCTGTAAATGTTATAATTGTGGAAAACCCAAATTTGATAAAAAAAAATTAAAGTTACGTGTCTATTGGATTGTCATTATATCTTCATTGTAAATGCTAGCTAATTTCTCAAGTTTTTTGCAAGCTACTTAATGTTATGACGTAGTAAGGAAAAAAAACTATATCCCTCTGCAATGGCTTAGTCAATTACACCAATATCTCTACATTTTCTACAAAATAAAAATTTGAGGACCAAAACATACAATAGAAAAGAAATAAATAAAAATATATAAATAGAGCAAAAAAAAAGATATCCTTATTTCTTGGCGTGTTCAACCTCTTTCCCAAGCGTTACTACACGTAAAAGCCTTTTTATCTTAAGCATACGCTTCACCAATCTCACACACAAATTAAAAACATTAATGTATATATAAAAATATGTGCCAATGCATTTTCAGGATCTCGATTTCAAATAAAAATTCGATATGTATCTGAGTAGGAGAATGCAGAGCGGATGTTTTGCGGTCTATAGGAAGGGACTTTCAGAGATCTTACAAATATACAACAAGGTCGAGAGAAAGACATCTATGAATCCATGTCCGAAGACTATTATTCTATTTGGAAGAAACTATTATAATCAAATGAGTCCACAAGAGCTAAAGTTTATAAATCCGGTTTATGCTGTGAAGTACTTTGGTAATGGTTCCAGCAACTCCAAGATGCAATCTTCTCTTCCAAAGCAATGGTTTAATTTTCCTTCTTGGTATTCATCTTTCTCTCTCTCTCTTTTAGATCTAAATATTCTGAACAAATCTTGCATGGATTTGCATTAGATATGATCAGATTAAACAAGTCAATCCAATAGATTAGAATCAAGCTTCTGTTGTGACTAATTTGGATTCTTACTAGCAGGGGAAGATGGGCTATAGGTTCTGCGATTTCTTTAGTGTTATCTTTCTGGAACAATAAAAGGATTCAGAAACTGAAACAGATCGAAGGTAATGAAAAATATTCATCTCATCAGTCTTCTCTGCATTACTTCTCATAGCTCAGTTTTATTTACTTTCGCTCACCGGTTTTTTATTTGCATTGTTATAAAAACTCAAATGGCGTGTATACAAATTTTTTGAAGCGTTTTAGTAATAAGTTGGCGTGCAACATATACGCATTTTATGCATACCTCATTTTACCAAACTACATAAGTGTTTGTGAATTAAAATAAATTCAAAAATAGTAAAGTAAAAAATGTTTTGGACTCAAAATTTTTGGACCTTCGAAAAGCTTTCTAAGTTTGAACAATAAAAATGATATAACTTCTAAATAATTCAAATCTGCATTTCTTTCTTATCTGTATGTGTATGATATCCGATAAGACTTGTATATGATACTAAAAGAAACTATAATATGTAAAAGGGTAGTGTATGGATGAAAAAAGATTTTGTGTTTGCTTAAGAAATGAGAATAAATTTGAATAATGTGATGCAGGAGAAGCGGAATTGGCCGTGGAAGGGGTAGAGGCTGTAGCTGAAATGGTAGAGAAAGTGGCTTCGGCCACAGAGAAATTGGCTGAAGAAGTGACAGAGAAACTGCCTGAGAAAAGTAAACTTAAACAGGCGGCTTTGGTTCTGGAGAACATTTCAAAAGTTGCTGCTCATGAAGCACATACAACCCAAGAATTCCTTCACAAGGTACCTTTTATAATTAAAATTGATATATGAAATGAGATAAAAAATCTTACTAAAATGTAACATTCCAACGCTAGCAAAGGTTACTATTTTGAGTATATGATATTATCCAATCTCCACATAAACCTATGCTTTTTAGGCACGTTTTGAAACCAAATAATAAACATAACTAAAGTTTTGATTGTGATTTGAAAAAAATCAAAACTTACAAAACTGCAGGTTGAAAAAGTCACGCAAGATTTGGATGACTTGGAGGCAATGATAGAGCCTCTGGTAGACATAATTGTGGCAAATGCTAAAACAAAGCAACCCGATGAAGGAGAAGAAGCAAACTATGAGTCGCCTTCACGCCACTAGTCTCTTCCTCGTCTAATATGGACGCAAACCAAATAAAACAAGAACTCTTCAATACTGTATCTCTATTAATTTATTACATTCTTTTCAAAATGTGCAAAAGCTTTTTAGAGATATCCAACAGTAACAGTACAGGTATACCGTTCTGATAGTTACAAAAACAAGAAGAATTAACAGTACCACTATTTATCTTTACTAGTATCTAATAACTTAGCCTTTACAAAAACCATCAATATAAAACTCTTCTAAAACCCCTCTCTTTTGTGGCCAAAAAAAAAACCCACTCTTTTTTGGAGAGGTGACTTTGTTCTTTGTGTTACATGGAGTTTGCGTGGGGGTTGAAGTTTTGGTGAAGAAGAAGACTTCCTTGGGGCGGTGGCCGGTGAGACCGGTTGTGTCACGGCTGCTCACGGTGGGGTTCTTGTGTGTGACTAGTGGTTGGCTGGTTTTCCCTCAGTTAAATCACGTGTAGGACCACGAAAATCTAAATTAAAAATCACGATAGATTTATATGTATAGCCATTTCAGCTGTGCTCGTCCTTTCTCGAAAGTATCTTTTTTCCTGGAACATGGTTAACCAAAAATTATTATGTTTGCGATTCTTCATCCACCAATGCAGAAAATGCTAAAGTTTTCCATTCTTATATGAGGCCGGAAAGTTTATTAGCAAGAGGTCGGCATGAAGTGATTCATCATGCTCAAACATGAGCCGATCGTTCGTTAGGGATGGTTTATAGATCATCAAATTCCCACAAATGGAATGAAAAGTGGGTTCATGTAAATGATCGAGACCTCGTAAACAACAACGCTCCTTCTCCATATGGAGTTCGGAACCCAAAGGCAATCGTTGAGTGAACTGTATCTTCTTTGTGTTAGTTGACCTAAGCCGCACCATTACTGTTGGGGTGGGGCTCGGCCTCCGAACCGCACGTGGGACGAGTTTCTGCCTCATACAGCTCGGGCCGAAGACCGGGGAAAGTTTAGGAGAGATGGGGAGACCCAGCAGCTGCCGGTTGGGGCGGGGGTAAGCTTGTGAAGAAGCGAGCTTATCCCCCCCCCAAAAACCAATCCTATAGCGCTAGCGCTTCGCGTTCTTTCTATTTTATCTCATTTCATTCTGGGATAGGCGGCTAATACTAATCTAATAAGTGAAGTAGTCGTCGTCTGACCAATTGACTCGGACACCAGACCGCAAAGACGATACACGGAATCGAGCTATAATCTCTTTTCTTAATTCTTTAAATCTCATGCAGTGTGGCGGTTTGAAGAGATTCAGAATTCCAGGATACAATCGTGTTGAGACTAAAGTCGCAGCACCCGATTATAGAATCTACAAACTTAAGAATCTACGCTATACTCTCGAGACTCACCTAAGACTGTAGAGACGAGGGGATTTGCTTGATTTTGTGCTTGTAAGCTTATTGCTTTTCTGGATGAATAATAATGAATGAGAGATGTCCTTATTTATAGTGGAAGAGAGGTTTGTGGTGCAAGGCATTTGCCTTTTTACTCACGAAAGATAAACAGAAATATTCCGAATATCTTTGTTTCTTGTTCAACAAGCTTAAAGAAAAATGGAAATATTCCGAAAACCTTTATACCTTGTTTAAAAGAGGAAACAGAAATATTCTAAAAATCTTTATTCCTTATTTGACAAGGATAAGAGAAATAGAAATATTCCGTAAAATAATTCGAACCAATCGATAAAGATTTATTGATATTATACAAAAATTATAAATATAATATTGACAATTTCATTAAATAAGTCAATAAAGATTTATTCCAAAAAGAAATTGTTTTGTGGTTTTGCATAATATCCCTCATACTTCCAATGTGTGACAAATGCATATTTTGACTTTTAATCTTGATTACATGTCCACTTTGACCATTGATTTCTGATTCAAATTAACTTCGATTTTGACAAGTAATTACACTGTCTATTAGTGCTCATTACAAAGATTTCAAAGAATCCATAATTGCCAAAATTTAAGTTCCAACAATCCCCCACATGAATAGAAATTACTCTAAAACATATGCAGACTCTACTAACTCGAAAGACTATGCAGACACACTAGGACTTGACTCTAGGACTTTTCGAGAGTATAGGCGTAAAATTAACTGTGTATGATATAGTAGCATATTTCAGCCTTGAACTATTCATTGTTGATATCTATCAAGTTTACTTGGCCAGGAGGTGAACATGATGTCTTGAACGCCCGGATTTTTATGTAAACTTAGATAACATGTACAACTCAGTCTCATCTTCTCGTAGAACTAAGTTCTCTATTGTGTTCATTGTGGCCGTGCACTTGCCTGGTTGTCATGAGTGAACTTGGAGATATAGCCTTGTCTTCATCCTCCTAGAAACGGCCGCATTTCACACTCACTAGGTGATTTCTTTGAGCTCCTGACATATACACAAGTATCCTTCTACACTCTATATTATGATTGCTACTCAAAATCATTAAAAGTATAAAACTTATCTTTTACTACTTACAGGGAGCAATGTACATCGTTTTGGGAGATGGGCACAGACCTTATGACTTTCAGTGCTTTCATCAGACTCTGTTCGACTTGGTTGTCCCTTTGAACTTAGATCTTGGGATCTCCAATTACATAAGTGGGGTTTCCATCAAACATCCTCTTTAGTCATAGGCAATAAACCCATTCCCTTTGATGATTTCAAAACTTGTTCTCTATTTAATCCTTTAGTGAACGGATCCGCAAGGTTGTCAGCTGACTTGATGTAATCGACCGAGATTACACCCGTTGAGATCAAATGTCTAATGGTCTTATGTCGCCTTCTGATTGTGACGAGACTTACCATTGTATAGGTTACTCAATGCCCGAGCTATTGCTGATTGACTATCATAATGCACTCGTAATGCTGTCTTCAAGGAAATTCCATAGCCATTCTGCTTCCTCTGCTGCCTTGTCTAGTGCTATGAACTCAGATTCCATTGTGGATCTTGCTAACAGAGTTTGTTTGGATGATTTCCAAGATACTGATGAACCTCCTAGAGTAAATACATATCCACTTGTGGATTTCAAATTCCTTGAGTCTGATATCCAGTATGCATCACCGTATCCTTCCAAAGATGCGGGTTCTTTACCGTAGTGCAGCCCATAACTCTTGGTGTATCGCAAATAATTTAATACCCTTGTTATGGCTTTCCAGTGTGTATGACCTGGATTACTTGTGTAATGACTTAACACGTTGACAGCATACGCAAATGTCTGGTCATGTACAATTGGTTAAGTACATTAGACTGCCAATAACCCTTGCATATTCTATTTGTGAAACAGCTTCACCAGAGTTCTTTGTCAAGTGTAGTTGGGAATCCACAGGAGTCTTCGCAGTTCCATTTGAGTAAGCCTTGAACCTCTCAAGAATCTTTTCAGCATAATGACCTTGAGACAGAGTGATGCCTTCAGAGGCGCGTGTAATCTTTATGCCAAGGATAACATCCACAAGACCCATGTCTTTCATGTCAAACTGACCACTAAGCATTTTCTTGGTTTGTTGGATGAAATCGTTGTTACTTCCCATGATGAGCATGTCATCAACGTATAAACACAACAAGATATACCCGTGAGGAGTACTTTTGATGTAGATACACTTATAACTATCAATTATGCTGAAACCATTTGACATCATTACATTGTCTAACTTTTCATGCCATTGCTTCGGAGATTGTTTCAGACCATACAATGACTTCACAAGTCTACAGACTTTGTGTTCTTGACCTGGGGCCACAAATCCTTCAGGTTGCTTCATGTAAATCTCCTCTTCTAGATCACCATTTAGAAAGGCCATTTTTTACATCCATCTGATGGATTTCGAGTCCTCTTTGGGCTGCAACTCTTATCAGAATTCTTATTGAAGTTATTCTCGTTACTGGAGAATAGGTATCGAAGAAATCTAGACCTTCTTTTTGTCTGAATCCTTGAACCACAAGTCTGGCCTTGTACTTCTCAATTGAACCATCAGTTTTCAACTTGGTTTTGAATATCCATCTACACCCTAGCGCTTTGAAGCCTTGAGGTAAATCAGTGATCTCATAAGTATGATTCTGCATTATAAAATCAATTTCACTATTAACTGCTTCTTTCCAGAAAGATGCGCCAGGTGTAGACATGGCTTCTGTGTATGATCTCGGCTCATTCTCTGTGAGAAATACCATTAAGAAATCATCACCAAAAGATTTTTCCTTGCGTGCTCTTTTGCTCCGTCTAGGTTCATCTTCTTCATCTTCTGCTTCATCAACTGAAATTCCAGAAGTGCTCTCCTCATTTACAGAGATGCTAGCGTCTCTTTCATCATAAGTGCGTTTCTTACTTTGTTTTTCTTTGCATGGAAAGATGTCTTCAAGGAAAGACACATTCCTAGATTCCATTATCGTGTTGACCTGGATGTCTGATACACCTGACTTATGTACTAGGAATTGATAAGCACTGCTATTATGTGCATATCCGATGAAGATGCAATCAACCGTTTTAGGCCCAATTGTCAGCTTCTTAGGAGGTGGCACAATGACTTTTGCTAAGCATCCCCCCACACTTTGAGGTATTTGTACGAAGGTACAGTTCCTTTCCAAAGTTCATATGGCGTTTTGCCAGTAATCTTGTGTGGAATTTTGTTGAGGATGTAGTTTGTGGTGAGCAGCGTTCCCCCCCCCCCCCCCCCCCCCCCCCCCCCCCCAGATTCTGGGGTGTCCCAGATTCCTGCAACATTGCATTCATCATCTCTTTTAGAGTGAGATTCTTTCTCTCTGCAACTCCGTTATATTTTGGTGAGTATGGAGCGGTTGTTTGATGTATGATGCCTTTTTCTTGACAGAAAGCGTTGAAAGGTCCATCATACTCGCCTCCTCTATCACTTCTAACCATCTTAATGGTTTTTCCCAGTTGGTTTTCAACTTCGAGGTTGTACTCTTTGAATTTGTCCAAGACTTCGTATTTACTTCGCAGTAAGTAGACGTAACAATATCTTGTGCAATCATCAATGAAAGTCACGAAGTACTTCTTACCACCCCTTGTTTGTATATACTTTATATCGCACAGATCAGTGTGGATTAAACCAAGAGGTTCGGTTGTTCTTTCAACATGATTTGAGAACTCAATCCAGATAAGCGATTAAAACATTTAATTCGCTATCAATTATTCACAGAAATCGCCTTAAGGCGTTCTTAAACCCTTAATAGTCGTTCCCAGAAATCACCTAAAGGTGTTCTTAAACGCTATATTTCAGATCTATAAGATCGTTTAAAGACAAACGTTTCATGATCCTGACTAGGGCTGACGCGGAAATCGTTTTGTGTCTTTATTATAATCGTCTGTTTTTAAGATCAAACATTCTACGGTTGGCTATAAGACAATCACAGAAGCATTGTAGATCGTTCAGAAAACGTTTTAAAATATTTTAATGAAATCGTTTTGAAGAATTGTTCGCAATATTCAATCCGATTCAAGCAATTAGCAGGAAACAGATTTCAAGAATTAAGATTGTAGGACCGCGAAAATCCAGATTGAAAATCACGAATATAAAACGATTGAAATCTA